AAGAATACTTACATAGGTTCTAAAGGCAAAGGAATATGCTGACTTGTCAATAAGCTTGCTCCTGCTTTCCAATTTTACTTAGCCTTACTGATCATTTCACTCATCTTAAATTCCACTGTCATTTGAACCCCACATGGCATGCCTGGACAAATGCAAGGACTTGGATGTTGTTTTACAGGCTGGGCTTGCGGCCAAGTCTGTTCCATGCACTTCCCTGGCCCACTAGGGCAACAGTTCCCTTATTTACGTTATTGCTGCGAACAGCCGAACTGGTGCTTACTACCGAGGGAGGCACAATTCACTCTTATTTCTCACCCATTCAACGACAACATTACTTATTTGTTGGTGGGACACAAACACCCATTTGCAACTGTGGAACATGAACAAAATGAGAACGACCATTTTTTAAGCATGAAATTTCTTTTTCCCCCTAAAGAAAAACACAGTTTATTCTTTTTTTTCCAGAAGTCCATAAGAGGGAATCATCTGCATAAATACCTTGAATCTTGCCTGTCTCCCACATCCCAATTTTCAGCATGTCTTTTCATGCTACTGGTGTGCACATTTCTCAGGAAAAAATTCATTTAGGTAGCCTAACAGGAAAGAATATAACACATTTTGAACATGTCCACTTCCCAGGATTACCAGCTTCAGCTACATGACCTTTCAGGCCAGGCAACTCCAACGTTAGTGGTAACAGACTTACTTTAGCACACATTTTCCTTTGGTTCTCCCTCAGCACCTCTGTAAGTTTTCCTGAAGTCACAAGGTTCTTGTCACAGACCCTCTATTTTTGGTCAGATGCAGCTGTTTGATTTTTTCCCCTCTCCCCTCCACAAGCAGATAATATAACCCCAGCCTATTACTGATTTGCATCATCTTCCTCTCTGTCATTCTTTAGTGCACAATGATATGCATACTTCTATCAGACCTTAAAATAAAAGCAGTGATAGCTAAGTTTGTTCAGGTAATGGCTCCTATTATATTTAATGCTTACTACAAAAACATAAGAAAAAAAATCCTTGTTTAAGTATCCTTTGTTTCTAGAAGAACAAAAAGAATCAAGCAACTTTTTCATTCATTACTTACAATCATACCAGTAGATTTTAGTCTTAACGTGCAGACATTCTTGTGCAGGCACTCTTGTTCGTGTAGCAAATGTTTACAGGCCATCAAGGACAGATGTGTATGTATATGTGTATGTGTGTGTTAACATATATACACATATATGGATGGCTCAAATATATATACTAACCACAAAGTTCTCATTTGAGTGACTTCTTCCCTACAGATTTATATAGACAATCAAATAGAGACAGAAAAAGATGACCTCAAAAAGGAAAAACTTCAGCTAAACCGTACAAGTGTGCAGATCGGTCTCAAAAAAGGCATTCAGAAGTTCACATGTCATTTTTGCTCTTTTCAGATAAGGAGAACAAACTCTGGAGCAGTTATGGATCAGAAGTACATGATAGTAATGATTTTTGATGAGAGCAACCCTCAGTCAGCTCACACCTTGTGTGCACCAGTTAGTGCCAGCATCCAGCCCTAAATTTTCCACTCAGTCTAGTTATGAGACTTTCTTCTCTACCACAACTTCCTTACTTCTGCCTCATTCACCATCTTACGAAAGAACTAAAAGTTCAATCATTCACTGCCGACTTTTGCAAATAGTTTAGCCCCTTTTCTACTCTTTACCAAGAAGGCTGACAGCAAAGACCTTATGAATGCAGATTTAAGAGGAGGAATACTTCAGATATTAACCATCAAGGCAAGACTGAATACTAATATTATGGTGGCATTTCAGTGCACACCAATTTCTAAACTCTTAGTACACATCTATATTAAATGACACACATACAGCGCAAATTTTGCTCCTGCGAACTCTGCCTAGTCACTGAGGAAAAATTCAGTGCTCTCCATCCCTTCAAAGCACTTCACACAGACAGGGGGAAACTGCTGAGCAGCCCAAGTATCTCGCAGATGCTAACAGAGAAAGAAGGTCAGACCCTGAAACTTTCAAAAGAAAAGCTCAGGTATCACTTTGATGGACTGATGGACACAAGTAAAACACACATTTCAATCTAGACATTGAGCAATGACCTTGAATCTGTAAGCTCATGAACAGAAGTGAGGAGAGGGGAGAGAAAAAAAAAAAAAAACACCTTCAAAAGAGGAAAAAAACTTCAAAAGAGATTTTTTCCCCCCCTCCAAGCAAACTGTAATTTCAAATTCAGATATATACTCTTTATTCAGAACAAGGCTGTAGCTTGCAAAGATGTTTTGAATTGTCACTAAATTCATCCCAGATTCCAGATTCCTTTTCAGGAGATAAGAAGGATTGAGAGAAAGAAATCATCAGTAGAAAGGTTGCTACCTAGTATTACTTAGCCAGATATTAAGTCACAGGAAAGATCCAAAACCTCTTTTCACCTTAAGTTTCATAGTTTCCAAGTAAATGCAGAAGACTTTATGAACAAGAACTCCAAGGAGAATAATTTCACACTTGCCAAAGTATATATATCATAAAATGAACTTTTATAGCACTAATATTTTGGGAAAACAAAACAACAAATATGATTACTTAAATTGAAAGCAAAAATATTAACATCTCCCGCCTTAGCTCATAGTCAAAGAATAAATGTCGCACTTGTGAACAGTATGCCACAGCAGGGATTTTAACAGTTACAGTTGTGAGGGCAATAGGACAATTCACTTGCTTTTTCCCCAGATTACACTGAAGAGTACTGCAAAATGGCCGTGGGGCAAGGGGGAAATTCAGAGCCATGAAGGCCACAGTTGCTTTGCGAGAGAAGGCAGCAGCTCCACACTACACGGAACTACTCCACCTGTTCTGAGCACGGAGGGACAAGAACACCAAATTACTGGAGCACGAGAGATCTTTGGCCCAGTTCTGTGCAGATATTTTAAATGCTAAGCCAGATATTATCAAAAGCTGTGCAGTGCCTACCTTCCATTTAAAACCACCTGAAGACCTTTCAACAATTTCATGTTTAGAGACCACGTGAGCAAATTCTTGTTTCATTTGAAACGCTACATTAAACGGGCAATCCCTTTGATGTTACCTGGGGTATGCTGCAAAGGCCGTAGTATTAGACTAGGGACTTGTAACCACCTTACACTGTAGTCCTCCTCACCAGCAACTACATTGTTTGCATCAAGCACACAAGCATTATAGCCAAACACTAGTCTCAATTCCTGCCACTTAGACTATACTATGCGAGTAGTTTGAGTACCTTATAAACAACAGAGAGAGTGCTCTGTGTAATAAAAGTTGCGTTTATTTCTCTGATTGTCTCTTTTTAATGACACAAGAGGGCCACCATCTACAGATTTGGATTAGAAAAAAAAAACTTTTAAAAATCAAAAACATGTATTTATGTAGGCATATTCATAAAAGAATAACATCCTTACAACAGTACAGTAGTCTTGGCCAGGTAAAAATAAAGTGTTATTGCCATGTTATTTCCACAGTAAGTTAGTTAGTACTGGGCACTTCTTTCACATGCAGAGCGATCCTCATCTCAGATATCTATAGAGATATAGCACGAAGCATATGAGCTTGTCTTCAAAGATCATGGAAAATGTGGTAACTTAAAATATAGATAGTAGAGAAAGTTACTTAATTTGAAGTAAATAATATTTATTATCAGCATATGCAAGGAAAACAAAAACAAACTCCTGCATTTACTTTGCTGCACAACTGACAATAGCAACAAGTTGGAGGAATTACAAAAATTGCTGTAGGGAGATGCAATAATTTTAGTTCATCAAACTGATATACTTGAATGAGGAAAAAAACAGAAGATTTTCAGCACAAGTCCCCTCTCACACAGTGTCTAGGTCCTGATAAGTAAAACACAAAGGCAGAATTACCAACTAATCTGTGGCACACTCTTTAAGAGAGTAGCACTTGGAAGGAGAGACACATTCAAACCTTCCCACCTCAAGGCCTCCTCTTTGCATAGCAGGACAGATCACCTTGACTATTTCACAAAACAGTGAAATTACTGAGTTATACAGACGAATGCAGGGTTAAATTCTTATCCAAAACCACAGCAAATGGATCAGTTCCTGATCTGAATAGAATATTTACAAATGTAAATGTAAAAAACAAACCAAAAACTTAACAAGCATGAGAATTTGCCTCTAGTCAGAGTAATGCCTGAACTATTTGTTGAGAGTAGGAATGGTTAATATACAAAGCTACCACAACGCAAGTGTTATGTATGTAAATTGAGTAGTATTTCTAGTTTTCTAAGCAACTTGTTTTCCCATTTTCATCTGTCACTGCCCAAGTAGCCTAGTTTAGATTACTAGCATTATGTGAAAAGAATCACAAGTAGAAGTGACTGCAATTATTCTTGTTGTAATTTATTAACACTCCCCAGTGTTTCTTCTCCGACTCATACACATCTTGTTCACATTGCACCACGATACCTTTATTTTGGCTAGCAGAAGTCAGGCCCCTTTCCGAAAAGCATCATCTATTTTCCTAGTACTCCCATCTGCCTACTCCACTAACTTGGAAAATCATAAAGGAAAATTCCCCCTTCTTCAGAGAAATCTGCAAGCTGAAAAGACTCTTGGATCTCAGAAGTCAAGGATGTTTTTAGACACCAATCTGCACGTTCACTCTACATTATGAACCGACTGTGTCCAACTATTTTTTCCCCGATCCCCTTTGCACTCCACAAGTAGGAGCACAAAACAATATGGCTGCATCTTTTAGCCTGGATACGGGCACGTTTCAGACCTATCCTGCCAGCCCGCTGTTAACGTTAAGGCAGAGAGTATATCCAAGTAAAACTTATTTCCAGCAGGTTAGGAAAAGAATAAGTTTCTATTTCAGCAGCGTGACACGGAGCTCCCGCGGCCCAGCAGCCCCTCGCGATTTGCAGGAAACACTTTTACTCCCTGCTCCTTAAGGGAAAACCATTTTTTCCCCGACACGACGAAACGGGATAGCAGGGGCACACCGAGACCCGTCAGCGCACCCGCGAGCGGCAGGGAGCCGCGCAGGGCCGCGCGCCCACGGGAGTTCGCAAAACCCCTCCGGCCACGACGAGCTCGGCGGGACCCTGGGGG